ATTAATTTTGTTTTTCCTGGCTTTATTTCCGGGTTTTGGGTTTTTTTTTTTTTTTTTTTTTGGGAACAAAACTAAAACTAGTGTGGTGTCTTTCTGTTTTTTTTTTCCTTACAGTTGCTTTGTAGTAGGTAGCTGCAGTTTGTAATTTTAAAAATGTAAACATGTTCATGGTCTTAATACATATACCATAGTGGTTTTCTGCTGCTCGTTTGGGTTTTGTGCGCGCGCGCGCTGTTTTTTACTATCGCTGCCGAAAATGTTTGTTTTGTAATGAGATACAGGCTTAAAGCCTGCTCGGGTACTGTAGCGCTGGCTAAGCCCGGTTCTGCGAACGTGGCCGCGAAGGACGCGTCCTGGGCCGTGCCTTACTGCGCGTGAAGGGACGGCCAAACAGAAGTGCTTAGAACCAGGTTGAGCCGGCAGCGTTTTGCGATGGGACCGCTGGTAAGGTCTGAATGATTTTGATGCCAAGCTCTGAACTTCTTCTGGAAGAAAGTAACCGTTTTACCTGTTTTACTGAAATCTATTTTCCTTTTCAATATTGTGCTGGAAAAAGTGTATGAGGACAACCGTGGAGGGAAGTGAAAGTACGTGGGCATGGGTACTGGGAGCGAGGCTCACAGTGCCCGAGGAACAGACTGTGCGTGCTTGAACAACAGCGGGATAGGGACCACTATCACAGTCGGCGGTTTTATGCCTGTTTGTGAACGAGGTGACGTATCCAGTTTAGGAATTATCTTAAGATAAGAATCTACGCGTTCTGAAGAAGTGCTGGATCTGGTTTATTCTTGGTCGTGTTGGTGTTTTGCTGTTGTATAGTACTTCTTATCTGGTAATGTATCAGTCATCAAAAATAAATTTTACAAATAACTAAAGCTTACCTTGTTGTTCAGTGTAACACTCAAGTTTTCTTGTGATGATGTTCTTCTGGTTTCCTTTCCACTGCGGTGCTGATTCTGTCGTCTTCCCTCCTCAAATATGTTTTTAAAAAGTTCTTCAAACACTTTTCCTTTCATTCAAAGAAAGGAGATGTCACCGCGGTTTGAAGATTGGATCTTATCTGAAACTCACTGAGCCCGCGAACCGTCATCTTAATCTTCCATTTGGACAAGGATGCCTTCGTTTCTCAGTTAAATGAGATAGACGTTTTCAGTTTTGTATATTCTTTTCTCAGAAATGGAAAACTGTTTACAAATACAATTTTAAATCGGTCAACAAGTACAAGGAAACGTCACCCAAGAAGTAAAACAAATAAGCCCTTACGTAGCATAGTGGACCTGTTTGATAATTTGTGACTAGAATGGATTTTTAAAAGAATTTTAAACTGAATTTTTAAAGGAAAACAGTTCTAATTAAAGGCTTAGCACATAATTTATCATTTGTGCACTATAAGTACTCTAATTTACTGTGCTTTGTTTAGCCTGTCTTCAGTTTTATCAGTCATTATATCATAAATCTGAAACCATGTTATGCTTTGTTGTCTCAATCGTTTCAGTGTAATAAACTGTAGCATATCATTTAAACCCTCAGTTAAGGTATTGGAAAGAAGACCCTTTATGGTATAGCCAGATAGTACACAAACTTCTATCAAAAATTTACCAGCAGAAATTAGTAATACATTGCTTCATTATTCAACTTCTAAGAATTACACTTATTCAAAGAAGTATCATCTTGAAACCTAACCAGTTAAAAAGGCGTTAATATCAGTTATTGCCTTTGTCCTTGAGGGTTGACTTGGCGGGGGGAGTAAATCCACCATTTCCTTTCTATAACTTACATTTCTCTATTGCTTTTTAGAGGGGAGAAAAAAAGTGCAACTGGACGAAACAGAACTGAAAAATAGAGATGCTTTTCAGTCTAATCTTTCAGCTTATAATCAGAGCGCAAAAATATCACAAGCATTGCTGCCAAAACTATATCCAAACGAGTATTTGTCGGGAGGGCAGAAGAAACCCAGACAGAAATAAGTTTACAACCCTTTTCTTGCCCTCCTTTCCCAAGATTGCTCTGAGATATACCCCATCCTCTGAAGTCTTGAGGTATGTGGTTTCCAGGAGTGCAAAGTTAGGCCAAACTGCTCCTTTAGGACCCCACCCCACCAGGGCTTGAATGTGCCCCTCCCGTGGGCCTGGAAGAAAGGGACCTCACGATTCAGACTGAATAGCCCTCACAAATTGGCACAGTATCACAAACTGATGTAAAAAATGTATTTAAAAGCTATGCACGTTATAGAATGACAAGAAACCCATTGCAATTGATGCAGTAGAAAGGGAGACAGAAAATGATCCTTGGAGAGAAAGTGATTAAAGTAGCAGCTGAACGCAGGTACCTGTGCATGCAAATCAGAATAGTCAAGGCTGTAAACTAAAAGTGTCCTGTTACTAACGCTGGCAGTGGATAAACAATTGATCCCCTTCAGAGAACGTCATGTGTAATTTTGTGTTTTGAAAAAACGACTTCAAAATTGTTGTAGATTAACACCCTGTGCAAATGAAAGAAATGTTGGTCTGCAGCTCTACAGAAGTTAGAAGTAACGCTGATCCAATTTTGATGGAAAACTCGGTGTGTTTAGTTCCTGGGCAGGGGGTTGTTTTTTATTTTTCTTAATTCATATCAGCTATTCAGTTCTTAAAATTGTTTCTTTGAGATTAAGTCACAGGATTTCTACCATTCTTTTCCTTCTGGAATGCTTCTAAATATTCTTACGTCAACTAGCACTTTCTCCTCTGTTATAGATATGAACAATGACCATAGTTAACAAGCCAAAATCTTCAAAATCTAAAAAGTCATCATCCAGACGGTCTGGCAAATCAAAGAAACCCCGTACTAAAAAAATGAAGTCACGCACCGCAAATTGGGGTCGGGTACCACCTGCAGAAGATCCAAACCAAGTCTCCGTGGACCAAGGACCGGGAGGTGCTATTTATTGTAGATCATCTGAAAAATCTAAGCCTTTTGCCCAAAGAGATCTAAGTAAGTGTATCTTTTATCCTACCTCCTTTTTTTAAAGAAAAAATAGCAAACCTCAGCCGTATCCTGCATTCTTACATGTTGAACTGTTATAAAACGGAACTACGCCTACCTCAACAGCAGACTTTAATTTTGTGACTCTCCTAAGACAACTGAAGTGACTAGCGTTGCAAAAGTTAATTTTGGTATGTTTACAGTCTGCAGTGCATTGTGGGGAATTGTCTTGGTAATACTCAGATTTAAGCAGGTATTTTCTATTGCACAGGGGACAAAGGCGTTTCATCATTGCTATTCATGGTTTCCGTTAATCACAAGTCTTTGAAAAATAACATTGCTTGGAAAAAGATCTGATAGTAATAGGGTCTAGTGCTAGTTACTTGCCTGTTTCTTTATCTTTGTTCTCACGCTTATTACCATGTAATTACAAGTTAGTGGTTTAAGTTACAACAAGGAAACAAAAAATCAAATGAGTAGGTCTCCATTAAAGATTAAAGAATCTAGATGGAAAGAACTATGACAAGGATCACTGAAAAGAGAGTAGTAGTCTGCCCATAAAAAAGTTAAAACAGGTGAATAAACTATTTTCCAAGACTGTGTGTTGACCAGCAAATTTTAATGACAGTATTAAGACTGTCTCTATGACGTTTTTGTGTTACAAATTACAACTGGTTCTTCCGGGTGCTTAGGTGTGGAACGCTACTTTTAAAATACTGCTTTTTAAAACAAAATAATAAAATCTCTTTTAAAATGAAATTCGCTTGCAGTCGTTAATGACGGAATTGCTCCGCCGCAAAGGATTCTTTTTCCACCTGAGAAGATTTGTATGGATTGGCAGCAAACACAAAGTGTTGGAGTTGGACTCTACAACCTTGGCAATACGTGTTTCCTCAATTCCGCTCTACAATGTTTGACTTACACACCCCCTCTCGCCAATTACATGCTTTCTCTTGAACACACCCAATCATGTGAGTACTTTTGAACTTCATTTTAAATCTGCTGGACAGCTCTGAAAGTGAAAGAATTAACAGTGGGCTCAGAACAGCTTATGTAGCGCATTCGTTCATTTGATGCACCTTCCTAAAACTTCAAAGAAAGATTATTCCTTGCTTCATGCGAGTAATGAAGTGCATTGGAAAGTAATGCATTTAATGAATATTTGGCATTTGAGTTTCCTGCTGGTAGAAAGATGATCAAATTTAGGCTGTTAGCATCATAGATTTCTAGTGTTCATTCACAGCCTAGTTTCCATAATGCACTAGTACTGTGATAAATGATACGTTCACTGTTGAACCATTTAACAAAATTTATGAGCTATGAAATCGAATAGAAATTTCTGTGGGACTGTATTAAAATCAAGACTGATTTTTATCCTAAATCAAATTCCTTATTTTTCAAACCCTTGAGTTTGTGGTTTTTTGAATTTATTTTTATGCTTGAGCTTATTTCAGCCAAGTAGCCTCTTGTTGCATCCACATATGGATACTTTGACAAAGGCACCTGTGTGCTTTTTAATCTTTCTGGTCTAGTGTTTTAGTATAGTCTCAGAAATTTAACGTTATATGCTCATTGTTTGGAAAAATTCTTTCAGTTAAGCATCCTTTTCAAAAAAGGAGAGTAGAAATACTTGCAGATACATTATTAACCTTTCTTTTCTCCCAAAGGATTCTCTTAGGTCTGTATCACGTAGCTCACCTGACAGCAGCGTGCTGAAAATAACACACGTTCTTTCCTAATGCTGCATCATCAATGTCAAATACTGTTCCTCATATGTTCTGCAATCTATAGAGTTCAAATTCCTGTCAGCCTGAAAAAGTGACTGTGCAATAGTCATTTAGATTTCTCATCGTAAAATGCATTTTAATACAGAGTTAATGGATATTTTTATTCTATGTAGTGTTGTGCAATAAAACGTCACAAGAATCTTGGAATATTGGCACTTTAAGAGAAGAGAATGGAGAGTGGAGATTGTACCTATAACCTAAAGATTTTATTTTGTAAGCTTTTCCATACCTATTTATATTTTGCTAGACTGAGATGCTTTCTTGTTTCGCTCTGCAGGTCGTGAGCAAGGCTTCTGCATGATGTGCACAATGGAAACTCACATTAATCAGGTCCTGTGTTGCTCTGATGATGCCATCAAACCTACACCTGTCATCAATGACCTTAGACGTAAGTCATTTCTTATAGTTTTATTTTTAGTTATTTTCTAATTTTCAAAGATTGTGTAATGTGCATAAACAATTCTCATAGTTTAATTTTAAGGAAGAGAGATTTTAGACTGCAAGTTTTCTTTCACTTTTATATGGGATAAGTATCGTGACCTTCTTATTTATTAGGAATAGGAAAACATTTCCGTTTTGGCAGTCAGGAAGATGCACATGAATTCTTACGCTACACCGTTGATGCTATGCAGAAAGCTTGTTTAAATGGAAGCACCAAGTAAGTATGAACAAATCTATCATTAAATGTTCTCTAGCCCTTTTTACTCCTTTGTTTATTATCATAAATGAAAATCTATGTCCAGGATTTTCATAAAAAGAAAAACTCTCTGCAGAGTTAACTCTCTGCCTTAAATCTTCTGAACTCTGATTATAATTTATTTCCAGATTAGACAGATCTTCTCAAGCTACCACAGTCATTCATCAAATATTTGGAGGATTTCTAAGATCCAGAGGTACTTTTAAAAAATATTACTATCCTTAGAATTGATCTGTGCCTTTTTGTCTGTTTATTGTAAAGCAGCTTATAGTGTGACTAAAATAATTTGTGTTAATAATTTAAATTTGCACCGTTAATTTACTTCACTTCTTGCTAAGCATTTGTGTTTTGCTTCCAGTAAAGTGCTTGAACTGCAAAGCAGTTTCGGATACCTACGAGGCATTCCTTGATATCACTTTGGATATAAAGGTAAGATGAACTGTGGTTCAAGATTTTAAAGGCATCTGTAGCTCTCTAATATAAACTTGATTTACTTAAAAGTGCATACTGTTAGCACAAAACAGCTTGATGGTAGATGGGAAGTGGATTGAAGTTTGTCCTTCTGTGGAAGCCATGTAATGGTCCCCATGTATGTGTTGGGTTTAAGCTGGACAAGTAATAATAATCGTATCTACGCACATGATAATACTAGCATACTTCACTGTTTAGTACTACCTCAATATACATCCAATTGTTATACTGATGGTTTTGATTGTTCTCTTTATTTATGACAATGTGTGAGACACATTTGCTAACGTATCGTGCAATTAAGTTATTTTTATCAAAGTAAAATGAGGTAAATGTTCAACGTACTCTGCTTCTGCCTCCTTCACGGTCTTCACTGGTTCACAGTAGGTCTCTCTTGAGTGTGAACTAGCAAGGTCTTCTTGTAAACTACTAGTGTGTGGGATTTTGAATTTCCAGTAACTTAGTGCTCTACTTTCTTGCTCGTACAGGCAGCTTCATCTGTCACCAGAGCTCTAGAACAATTTGTGAAACCTGAACAGCTGGATGGTGAAAATTGCTATAAATGTAGCAAGTAAGATTATTACTAATTATGTCTTAATACTAGATACTGGTTTAAAGTATTATATCTTTTGACTTAATTTAGAAACACATTAACGAGACACAGCTTTTTTTTTTTTCCTATACAACAAATACCCTGAAATAAGCAAAACTTGGAAAATAGCACATTTGTTTCTAAGACAGTAATTTTTGTCATTGTGTTTGAATATCTGAAATTAGTTGATAAGAAGTGCAGACATTAGGTCACATTAGAATTTTGTTTCTAGTATTGTCTCCACTGGGAGTGGTCAGTCTTCTGAACTGTGAAGTTGCACACTGCAATATTCATATGGCCAGAAGTTAAAGACATGTCCTATGTGTAGTGGTGAGCTGAAGCAAGGAGCTATGGACTGTGATTTGGGGTGGAGGGAGTAACAGCTTCCTGAAGTGGTCACTGTGGAGCAAAGTTAGACTGGGTCTAGGTGAATCTGAACCGACTCAGTGATAATTAACACTAAATGCCTCTGCTGGCTCACTAAACAGTATCCTGCTATGGTTCTTGAGTTGTAAAAACTGTGGACTACTGCTGTCTGAAATGAGCCACTGTAAACCTAACCTACCATCAGTGAAAGCATATGGAGTTAAGATATTTTATATGCTGATCTGTATGAGCTTCATCCAGCTCATCTGAATTGCATGATCCTTCGTTAATGTGCTCTGTGGGGTGTGTGATCAGTATAGTCATGCTTCAAGCCACAGGTTTCTGTTTCTTTTAAGTGAGCTTAGAAAGACAGGTCTTGCACGTATGCAGTATCTTTTCTATTTCTGGTAAACTATCCTGTTACTTTAATTTTTTTCCTAATTGACATTATTGATGTTTTTCTTCTGTTTTCTACCATTAATTTTTCTAATAAAGATTTCCACCACAAAACTTTGTATCTAAGTTTCATAGAATGTTACAAAGCTTTCCTCTCTCCTCTCTCCTTGGCCTTATCCATGAGTTTGGAATTTTCTGCCTTGTATTTTGACGTCAGAACTTGAAGAGAGACTATTTAATTCTTTCCACTTACTTTAGCTGTCAGCAGTATTTTTCTTGATGATATAAAGTGACATATTTCAGTATTTGTCTTTGTCTGTGACAGTAGTTGAATTTCACTGCTTACCCTGTATATCCTACTTCTGAGTGGATCATATGACAAATTTACAATTAACTATTAGTTTTGAAGGATTTCAGATGGTTCAGTCTCTTTCCAGGCAACCTCAGTACGTGAAGACTTACTACTGTCAAATGTCTTCCTCCTGTAGAATGACTGTTTGCTTCTGTCGTTTTTCTGACGTTGATAAATGATCCATTTTGGAAATGCTTTGCGGTTTCTAGTCCTAAGCGCTGAGGCTCCATTTTTGCAATTCTTTTAGCGTTTGTATTCCAGCAGAAAGCTGAAGGAATGTATCCAGGACATGAGTTGGACGTGGCCGCTTTTGTGTAACTACAAGTGCTACCTTGTGTTATATGCTAATGTGCTGTAGTGAGGGATTCATGTTCCTGCTGCATCTTGAGTTGTTGGCAAGCCTTACTTTTAGGCATAACAAAGATACATGTTCAAACATTTGTTTGGCTATCAAAAGATTATGTTCTAAATCCTTTATTCTTTGTTCTGTAGAGCTGTCCTTCTTATATGCTGCTATCTTCTCTGTATTAGCAAACCTGAAAAGCAGTGTATGGATTTATGAAAAGAAAAAACATATTATGCAAGTAAATATCATTCAAATAGCATAAGCATGTGTGAGACATGAAAACTTGTTTGACTTTTTGGGGGAAAAGAAAGACGCTTTTAAACGATTATCTGTGCTTGTTTTTAAGGTGTAAAAAGATGGTTCCTGCATCGAAGAGGTTTACGATACATCGTTCTTCCAATGTTCTCACAATATCCCTGAAAAGATTTGCAAATTTCACTGGTGGAAAGATCAACAAGGTACTTACACAACTGTAATGCAACTTCATCTTACTGGAATGGGAGATTTCCAAAAGCAGAGTATTCATTTAAAAGTTGCTAACATCAGCAAACAGTAACTATAGGCTGTAGACGTCTAAGAAAAATCAATGCAACAACTATGTCTTATTTTTAGTCTTGTGGTACCAGTAAAGTTCCTGTGTGCCAGTAAGCATGTACTCTACTCTTAAAGAGATGACTTTGCAGAAAACAGTTTTTGCAACTTAAACTGCTAACTGTTATTAATGGGAAGACCTATTTTTAATGAACCATAAAATGTATACTTCGAGTCTGTGTTTTTTAGAAGTGTTTTTCTCAGGCTATTTCATAAGATATTTCAAGATAGTTTTTGAATCCTCTTGGTCTCTCTTTAGGATGTAAAATATCCTGAATATTTGGATCTTCGAGCGTATATGTCTCAGTCAATTGGAGAACCACTGCTCTATGCCTTATATGCAGTCCTGGTACACAGTGGTGTTAACTGTCATGCAGGACACTATTTCTGCTACATAAAGGTAAATATCAACTTCTTCTCTGACAGGGTAAAATCTGTACTGTCAAAGACAAACTTTCATTAAAACGTTATTGGTAACCGCTGTTTTTAGGTGAAAACATATTTTGTTTGATTAGTTTTGGTGCGTTCTTTGTTCCGTAGTGTTCTATCTATGATTTCGTTTAGGAAACGTGCAATTCTTCTGACAACACTGTTGCCTTTTTTTTGCAGGCTGGTAACGGACTTTGGTACCAGATGAATGATGCCTCTGTAGTCCTTTGTGACATCAAAACAGTTCTCAGTCAGCAAGCTTATTTACTTTTTTATATCAGGTAATAGCAAGCATTAAAATGTGTTTAGAATAGCTTTACGTTCCTGTTATTGATATTTTTCTTCTTCCGAAGTGTTTTTTTTTTTTTTTTTTAACTGTGCTAGGGAAAAGAATTACTCTTTTCATAATTCAGTTCTGCCTCATCTGAAATTCACCCTGTCGTTTATTATCTTTCATTGCTCGGTCTTAAACTGCTGCACTTCTGTGAATTGCTACGTATCTTCTATCTGTAGCTGGCTAATTTAGAAAAGAGAAGAAAAGTATAAGGATGAGTTATTGCTCTAAAAGACAGACATTGTAGTAAGACCATTAACTAGTTTTCAGTTTGTAGTGTTGGCTAAGTCTTCTGCATATAAGTCTTCTGTGTCATATAGACTGCTCCTATAAAATTATAGGATGGGATTTAACACAAGAGTAGGCTGAAAGTACATCTCTAAACTGCAATCACTATTGTTTCCCAAGGCGTTATGATTTGACACTTGGAGAACGTGCTTTTTACTTACCAGCACCGTCTTACCCCCGTTCATTCCTTGGTCAGCGGGGGGCTAATAATAAGCAGACTGGATTTATGGGACCACGACTTCCTCCTCACATGATTAAGGTAATTTTTGGCGGGCAGATAACAGTGCCAAATTGATAGTGGTTTGTTGGGTGTTTTCTTTTTAAAGCATGTGAGTTTTATTTTTGCTCTCAAACTGCAGCTTTATTCACAACCCTCATTCTACAGCCAGAATCATTCAAATAATAATAATAATAATTATTATTATTAATATTAATTCAAATAATAATAATAATATTAAGCTGTGCAGCCATGCTACGTCATTACATTATTCTTCCAACTCAGCTTCCTAAAGCCCTGAGAAACTCTTAACACCTGAGACAATTTAGGTAGAGCCTACTAATGCTTAAATCATTTAAAAACAAAAAAGTAAAGGTATTTTTTCTAGCAATGTTACTTTAGCTGAGGCAGTGAAATCAAACTGGCTTGTTCCCGAGCACTGGAACAATTATTCCAGGGTTTTCAGGGAATGTTTAAAGGGGGAAATATATATATGTTTGGGAATAGCTTTAATCAGCATTAAGTTGTTTAGATGGGATATTAAAAATGATACTTAATTTGATGCCTATCTGCGGAAAACCAAAAGTAGGAATTAAACACACTTGTTGGACTTGCATATATAATGAAAGTTTTTTTCTATATAGGTGTTGAGGCAACTTGTAGAAATGTTTAGTGGGAGAGTTTTACGTTCTGGTATTTTAAATGCCGTGTGTTTGCATATATCCATCTTGCAATCTCTTCTTTTTAAATACAGAATTCAAGTCGTTTAAATGGAAATGGATCGCTAAAAGAGGATCCAAATACCATTGGTGTCACCCTGAAAAGGCCATCTTCAGCTCCACCAACAGCTTGTGTTCAAAACTGGGCAATAACCAGGCCTTCAATTACTGATCCCTCAAAAAAACAGAAGATCACTATCAGTATTCATAACAAATTGCCTGCACGTCAGACTGTGTCTCAGCCTGACTCTCTTAGCAGTGCTGTGGAGGATGAGGATCTAAGCAAGCCTGTTCCTTCATCCACAATTACGAATTCTTCTGCAGCAGAGTCTACCTCAAATGCATCTACAATGTCAGTTGCTACTAACGTTTCCAAACAAGAAGTTCCTGAGGAAATTTTTGTCGAGCCAGCAGTGAATGGAAATCCTAAACTCAGCTCTGATAACACAGTCCCTTACGGTGCAGAATCTTCAGGAAAATCTGAGGAGGAGTCGAAGGGCTTATTTAAAAGGAATTGCAACGTAATATCTTCTAATGGAATTTTGATTGGAAAGGTAGTCCGTACATTGCAGAATTCCCATTCTTCCTGTCAGAATGCTGAAGAAGAAAGATCCCAGCATGAGCTGCCAAAAAATGATACATTAAATGGTGCTATTAGTTTAGATAATGAATCTAAAGAAAATGGACTGAAACTTGATGATTCCACTTGCCAAGTACAACCTGTTAAACCTTCAGAGATTTTCTTTTCTAAAACAAATGGATTGCTAGAAACAGTGAGTTGCGTTTGTTTCATCTAGAATTTCTCATGTGTGATGTATTCAGGAATATTGTAATGTTCCTAATTCAGGTGAAATACTGAGGAAAATACTTCGCACAAATTTAGGCATAGCGCTTACTGGGCTGTTATCCCACCAGACTTTGCAGAGCTGAGCTGATGTATTAGAATGTGTCAACTTAAGACAAGTTTAGCTAAGATAATACTTCATAAGAGTTTCATAAGGTCTGTTTTGGGGGGATGGATGGGGTTATGTTTAAAATGTGGATAATTCGTATCACTCAGAGCAATTTTATTTAACACCTCATGTAGAAATATTGCAAACAGTAGTTTTCTACTATAGACACTGCCTTTCTGTCTATTAATTTCTACCTTTTAATTGTAGATGCCTATAGGTTTGCCTCCAGTCCCTCAAGAAATAATCTTAGAATCCCTCACATACAGCCAGTTGAACAGCTTATCAGAAGAAATAAGGTAAAAGGAGTGTGCTTTGATTAAAATAAGATTTTGTGCAAGCTTATCATGGGTTTACCTAACTACCAATACCATTTAATTGAAAGATTTAAATCAATAGAGAGAATTCCATACTGCATATACAGTGTTACGAACAGAACTAGTCATCAGCCCTGTGCCTGTTATTCGGATATTAAAAACATTTTGGTGCCTCTTGAAAAACCTTGGTTTCCACACAGAATGTTTTTAAGTTTTATTGTATTGTCTGTAATACTTTCTGTATTCCTTTTTCCCTTTCTCTTCACTCCTGGAGACGCATGCATGAATGTAAATTCCTGCCACCTGCCTTCCGTTGCATTTGGGAGAGAGAAGGAAACCAGTGTAACCACTTTTTTTTTAAGTTGGGGGAAAGAGCAAATATGGTGGGTTTGGCTATTGATGTGTTTCAGAGCAGCAAGTGGAGAGAGAGACAGATTGTTTTTAAATGCAATACTTTCAGAAGCAAGAAAAAAAAAACCCTTCCCTGGTAGCTGAGGAAGGTGTAATAATCCAAAGATAGATTTCTAAAGGGAATGTCTCTCCGAGTTTTCCAGTAGCCGTAAGTTCTTTACTTAACAGGAGCTTACTCTGAACGTTCATCTTGTAGATCAACTCTTTTGGCCAAAGTGACAAATGCATTTTTATTTTGTGCAGTGTCCCTGGACCTCCAAAATCTTCTGAGAGTGATGCTCTTATGGAAACTGTCGTGATGGAAGCACTGTTTGTCTATGAAGAATCCAGGAAGGTTCCTTCTGACTTTAGCTGTGAGGTCGAGAATCTTTTTGTTCAATCAGATTCTGAAACCGTTTCTACCAAAGAAGAAGTTGCTGAAAGTATTGTAGCAAAAGCTGATAATGCACATCCCAATATCAATGGCCAGCACAAGGTCAGGAAAAGATCCTTGGATGCTGAAGATGAATTCCTTGGGCAGTGTGTGTCTGAAGACAGTGCAGACAAAGACAAACCAAGAAGATCAAAAGAGTCCGAACTCATTTCAAAAGAAAATCCTTTGTACATCAAAGGGTCTCCTGAGACTGAAGAGAAATTAGGGCAAACTTCCTCTATAAAGTCTGACATTGAATGTAGTTCTAAAAAACTTGCATCTCTAGATATTACAGATAAATGCCAAGATACGAAGGACATTTCTAGCAACTATATAGAAGTACCGCCTGTTAATGACTCTTCAATTACAAAGCTGGATAAAGTTTTGGAGAGTCAATTTTCTAGAGACAGTGAGGGACTGAGTAATAAAAAATGTGAAGAATACAAGCATAGGAAAAAATACAAGAAAAAAATATATGACTCTAAAAAAACTGATAAAGAGCACTACCGAAGGAAGAGAGAGCACTCTGACACTGAAGAGAGGGAGAAGCAAAACAGAAGCAAAACGGATGGTCATTCTCACAAGAGGAGGTGCTCTCGCAGTGTGGAAACAAATAAGCAAAATCGTCATAAGCAGGAGTACTGCAATGGAAGCAAGTACAGATCTTCCCATAATGAAAGAAACAGCCCTGATAATGGCAGAAGCTCAGGAAAATATCCTCGTTACAGATCCCGAAGCAGAGGAAGAACAGAACAAGACAGAAATAGGTATTATCATTCCAAAGGAGAGCGAACTTGGAGCAGAGAAAGATACTATCAAGATGAACCACGGAGATGGGAAAAATGTAGATACTACAACGATTACTATTCCTCTCATGCAACAAGAGATGGTAGAGAGAGAAAGTTCTCTCATTGCGATAAAGACTTTGACAAATCAAGTCAAGCTTACAACAACAGGTCACATAAGGATTATCATTACAAAAGCAGATGGCTTCACAATTCGCTCTCGAGAGAGGAAGAGGTGCATCACTTTAGCAGTCACAGAGCAGACTCGCATCATTGTTCGGTGCCTCAGCAGCAATCTGAAAAATATTCTCGTGAAAGACACGCACTTCCACCTGTGTCAGTTCACTCAAATTTTGAGGACTCCTCTCAGAAAGATGAAAAAGAAAGAAACAGAAAAAGAAAATATTCCCGTGCAGAGGGGAGCGAAAGCGAAATAGAAAAGAAACGCAGAAAGATAGAAAAGGAGCTTTCAGGTGATCAAAAACTGAAAAAATACAAGAAGGTCAAGAAGAAAAAGAAGTCCAAAGATAAACATCGAGAGAAGGATTACAAGTAAGCAAGGATTACAGCATAATCAGCAATTTTTTCCTAATTCTTTTCTGGTTGTTTCTCATGTCTTCCCTTTTTTCATTGTTTCTAAGTTATTTATATGGCAGAATCTGGCTGGGGATCATGTCGTTAGGTCGATCACGTGAAGATAGGAAAGATATGGCCGAACTGTGTTAAGAGAGTTAAACTGGACCACGTAGTTAGACTCACATCTGCACGCAGTTCTTGATTAGGTTACAACAATTTTTTTTTTAATTGCACATATTCCAGAACTAGCCCTGGGTAATGATTTGTGTACAGACCAGGACCTATTGTCCTTCCATCTCTGAGGGCATAAGTTTGCTACACCTAAAGTAAGCTAGATGTGCAGAAATTACCACAGAGTAGCTGACATGCCGCAAATCGTCACCTGTGGTAAAATAAATAAAGTTTCATATATGCATCAAGTGCCACATCTGTTTTGCTATTATTAACTTGCATGTTTCCTTCAGACTTTATGATTTGGATTTCTCTGTGCTCCACTTTGACAATGACAATCGCAAACGTAAGAAAAAGAAGAAAAAGAAGAAACACATCAGGAAACTGAAAGGCTTCTTGGAATACTTAGACCCTCGTTTCCAGAAAAAAACACGGGAGAAGAAGGAAGAATCCCGTCCTCCAGATGGCTATTTATGTGAGCAATACAGAAACCAGGGCAGTAAACAACTCTACAAGGAAGGGAAGCCTTCCAGTGCTGGTGAAAGCAAGAAATATAATTCCATCGCATCCAGCGAGTATATTAAAGGTAAGGGGCCACAGGAAGTTTACAGGATTCCTTCTTATTTAAACAGAGAATATTATTGCAAATTATTTTGAAATACTTGTGTGATGCAAACTGCACAGTATGTCATGCCTTCCAAACAGTCTGCATTAATTAACAAAACTTGATAGGATTTTTTTTTTTTTCCATTTTTGAATGACTGATAGGAAAGAAGGTCTGAAATACAACTGCAAAGGGGCTGAAGGGCAAGTAATTTTAATTTGATGTGATGGTTAAGTGGGGAACCAGCGGGAGAGATGCAAGATGCTGTCAGTCTGATTAAGTAGGTAATTTTGGGCAGCTGTATCTTGGAAATGAATTTAGTAGGTAGACAGGAGGTTCCATAGTCAAGATGGGAGATGGTAACATGAGACTCCCAGACTGAGTAATGTTATATTAAAACACCGTCTTCCAAAAAACACTGCTAGAATAAGTGATTTAATTAAAATGCTATACTCAGCTATTTCATAACGTAGGAACAGTGGTGACTGCTTATTCAGAGTAACATAAGTTGGTGATAATACTGAAATATTTTTGTTTCAGATATAGATCTGCCTTCTCCTAAGCACACTGAATTTGCAGTTATTAACCCTCCAGAGGACGCTTTGCAATTTAACACCTGGAGAGTATGTTAAATTCCTGCTACTGTTTTATTTACTTGTGCTTTTTTCTGGTAGTATAGGCTTAAAAATTCAGAGAAATGGGCTGATGAAACAGCTCTTTCCCGGTTTTTAATATAAAAAAATCAATTCGGTACATCTCTTTATAGAAGAACTAAATACAAGCTTGAGTGCCTAACTGAATTCATGCTGAACTCTTTGCTGTTGCTTGTCATAGTTCTGTCTTGGACTCTCAGTAAATAATACAGTTTAAATTTATTATTTTTAGAATTAGGCAATGAAGAAGACTGCACGCTGTAATAAATTCAACATCTAAAATCAAGTCTTGACAACATTTTCCCAGGGAATTTTTCTGAACAGAAGTGTATATTATAAAAAGACTTCTTAGATTAGATGCCTGTTAGCTGACATGAAGACACAGTCCCCGTTACTCAGATATTTTAATATCCATTTATAATAAGATAAATTGCTCAGTCTTTTAACATTATTTGATTTACTTATAGGCCTACAGAGATGTGCAGATTCAACAAAACTGTTGAGTTTTTAAAAGCTCGATATCTTTTGAATATAATATTAATATATAATCCAGATATTTGCCTGTATAGCATATCACTGCTCTGTAAAATACCAGCTAAATTATTGGCAAGACTACAGTTCTCAAAAACAAACAAAACCCCCCCCCGCAACCATCTATTTTCCTCTTATAGATAACTGAAGTAATCCCTGAAGAAGACAGCTCACTATCCAAAGGCAAGTTTTATTCTTAGATTTGCTGTGTTTTATGCCTACCCAGAATTTAACAACTGGTTTAACTGTCAGTGACAGTCCAGCGTTGAAAAATCTCATTCAAGCATAGAGAACACAGGACCTTCATCTTCTTGCATTACAGCTGAATTCATTTCAACATTTGAGAAGTTTAATCTTGGAATAAATTTTCGTTTTCAAAAATTCCTTGTGATTTCCACTTTGAGGTAAATTGCCACAGTCAGATGATAAATTCTTGCACGGAAAAGTCTGCTCAGGACAGAGAGGAAGTGCAGTTGTTGAAAAAAACAACATGATTGTATTTTAGGGCATTTGTGAAATGAAGTTTGTCAAATACTAGTCTTGCAAGTACAGGCATTTTTAATGATAAGGCTGTAAAAAAAAATCCTGATTGTTCTAAATTTTAAGTGTCTCTATTCTAGATGATAAATCAGGAACAGGACCGAAGAAATTGCATCTGGTCGAATACTCTTTTGGCTTTACTAAATTCTCTGACCAGCAGATGGCAAACTTGTTTTTTTTCTAAAACAGTCAAAAGCGTAGGAAGAAAGCAAGTGTTTTGCATCCAGTAACACAAGTCAGGTGCATTGAGATTACCGGGCTGTGTAGGTGAACGAGATGTTCATTGATAAATACAACAATAATACCCCACTTGCAACACAAGTAGGATAGAACTGGGGGCTATGCAAAGCGATTGTGGTAAGTATAAGAATTTTAGTTTTTCATCAGATGTTAGATTTATTCCTCTTGTGGAAGGTGGGTCTTAAAAAAAAGGTCTCTCTTAAATAGGATTTTATGAATGATGGGATCTAATCTCAAAAAAAGCTGCTTAGGCCGTGTGTTCCTACAGGGTATTGAACCTCTCAGCTAAGCTAGGGCCAGACTAGGAACAACTGAGAAGGAATTGTAAGGCTGTGCCTTTTTGCCTGGACTCACGTTACTTTGAAGAAATCAAGAAGGATGAAATTACCTAGTGATAACTTGTGATTGAAGGATAGATAGATGAGAGAAGGAGCAGCTTTAAAGCAGTTAGTTTGTTTATTAGTTCCTGCGTTCCTGCATGTTTTTTCCTAGCAGTTTACCAAAGGCTCCTGATGTTTGTGGGTAAGATTTGGTCAGCTTGACCACCAGATCATTAGTAAAACAAGAATGGTGAACACGTTAAACCTCTAGGCACAGCTCCAACCATATTCAACTTACCTAAGGTCTACCATCTGCTATTAAAGCAGGTAGCTTTGTCCGAATCTTCCGTACACTGCACCAATCTTACTGAATTGCAGTCAGCTTTAATGCAAGGGTTTTGGAATTCCTCCTCTCGAGTCAGTTCAGTCCTGTAGTCACAGAGCAGATCAAGCTGTAGGCAGGGTCAAGTCTTCACTGTTTAGAAATCAAACCACTGAGCCAGACAGTTTTATGTTGAGTACCACAACATGGAATGACATTGCTTCCTTTTGTTTTTCAGATGCGGAGCTTACTGATGGAAGCCTTCAATACTCAAACTAAACCTACCATCAAAACCAACAACCTACTTACCATCAAAACCAACAACCTACTTACCATCAAAACCAACAAACAAACATCATCACAACAATACTAACCATCAAAACGTAAAATTATCAGAACAATAAAATTACCATCAAAGCAAAACCCAATCATAAGTGGTGCTTCAGATTTCTGTACAGAATTTTACCATGAAAGAACTTTTTTTTAGTTTTTAACTTGAGACTTTCTTTTTTAAAATGTACTTGTAATCCAAAAGGGTGGAAACTTTCTACAACTGCTGAACATTGTAAATTACCGTGTAAATATCTCACTGAAAATAATGCCCTGGAATAGAACATCTCAAATGCTGCTTAATTACAGACTCAGGTTGATTGTGTGTTATTCATGTAATGTTACTCCAAGTTAGACATCTGGTGCAAGAGAGACCAGGAAACCACGGAATTATAAAAATTGCAACTGACAGTCTGTATATTTAATTTAAAGACTTATTTAAAAATTTCACAAGCTCTCAAATAACTAGTGTTTTGCAAGAGCTTCATCTTTTTTCTGTGATGTCTGACACTAGAAACTAATTTACTTCACGTTTTTAGTTATATTCAAGATGATCTGAAGAAAATGTTCTGGTTTTCAACAGTGTGAAACATACTGATCAGAATATACTGTTCTGAATGTATCTCAGACTATTTGTATACTCTCCCATATGTTTTTATTACATTTTTTTATATAGTGTCACTTGTCTTGACTTAGTCTCAGTTGTCTGTTTTGTCCCTCTAAAGTTTCTAGTTACAGACAAATTCATACTGTGATTTTTATTTTTATTATTAAATGCTATCAAACTGTGATGCACTTATTATTCACTGGTCCTGCATCAGGAGATGAGTGGGGAACCTGTATTAAATACAGTTCATCTGAATAATCTGTCTGGTTTATACAAGCTGTGTTGTTCAGAGATGTCTAAAGTTTGATCTTTGTTTTTTTAAAGATAAAAAGCACTTGCCCCACTGTAAATATATAGCATGTAAAATTTATATAGTATATAAATACAGCAAAGTTAAAATGGATTTTACTTGAGTTTTACTTGAGTTATTTAACATGCAATATGTCATGTGAATTGACAGCTTTCAGAGTGTGTTTGATAATCAAGAAATCAGATCTTCCTTTCAGTGGTAGGTGAGAAGATGCTGTTGGTGTGACCCAGAGAAGATAAGTAAACTTGGGACTTCAACTGCCTAGACAAGAATGCAGAAGTCTTTCTCCTTTGAAGTTAAAAGCTTCCAAAAAGGTTGAAAGCTCAGCTGTAGCTTTCCACTGTGTGTGACACTAAGAAAGGAGCAAAGTTAATGTTTTACTAAATACTTAAAGTAATATTTTGGTACATGGAGAACACCATAAAGCCAAACCATAAGTGTACCCTGCATAATGTTCCTATGGCAACAGTTATGTGAAGTTACATAAAGTAACATGACAAAGAAAACACACACCTTTCCTGTATCTGGCTTTTTTTTCTCTTTTGTCCTTTGGCTCCAAGATCTTGTCTCTTGTCTAATGAGTAACTCTGGGCTAAACGTGTAAAAGGACTGTAACTGTAGAGCGCTGCGCTCAGTCTGCAAAGAGCTCCAGCAGCAACAGCGGCGTCAACTCGCTCACAAGCGCTAAAGGGAGGGAGGGCAGCTGAGACGCTGGAGAAGCTGGCTGGGTGCGCTGCGGCTGCGGCGGCTATTTCTAACGGGGCTGGCGGGGAGGTCGACTGCAGCCGCTTGAGGAGCGGAGACTGGATTTCACTCATACTTGATTGAACTCAGGGAGGAGAACTGATGATGAAATATTTCCTCAGTTTACGGTGGTTCGTGAGGGACGACAGCTCTTACTGGAATAAGAGCTGCACGTATACACTCATTCTGGTAGCATACTTTACTGAAACAGTCTGGTTTGCAGTTGAAGGTTTTCCTCTCTTTAACCTGGTAATTTAAGTTACTGAGTTTAGAGGTAGGGAAATTAGGGAAATTTTTTGCCTAAAAGAGCAGTTATAATCGATGCTGTAAAAAACTGATTCCTAATCCTTGGGAAAAATGTGAGCAGTTCACCCGCATTGAGTCTTGGTAAAAGACAAGCTATACAATAGTATAGTTTCATACTTTATTTTTGAGAAAAATCTCCGGATTTAAGCAACATGTCTTAATGATAAATGGAAACATTAATATTGTAGTGGATTTACATAGAACATCACATTTTTAACAATGATTGATACAGACTAATGTCATGCAAATCACTTGTGTACACCAAGTAATATTATATCAATACAGATCTGTACAGTATTTACATTTTATATTTAAACTCTAACTAGAAACATTTTCCAAGAAAATATAGAAATGAAACTGGTAAGCCACAAGTCTTCATTTGTAGCATTTGGTCTACAACAGACCTAGCTCTTCCAGCAAGCATATCTACATAGATATGTATTAAAGTTTTAAAAATATGCATTGATTTTATATATGAAGCATTATAAATGCTGCTCAGTTTATAAAGGTTCAGTTTTGTACCAGTTTAAAACTGTTCAAAATGTTAAGTGATGTAGAGCTTATTTTTTCAGAATATCGTAAAGTTTAAGTCAGTCCAGCTGAGCTTAAGTACTATGTACAGTTTTCTCCCTAGATTGCACTGGCAACGTGACCAAAGTTAGTGGCCAAACGGTTTAGATACTGAGAGGCCGTACACGCGGCAGAAGCAGTAGCGGCTCTTGCTGGCCCCTGTAGTTGCAAAGGGCAATGTTAAAAACAAAGAGCTGAAGAACTACACACATTTTTCAGTGCAACAGGAAGGGAGAAGTCTGTTGTCCCCAGATGACTTTTCCTCAGCATGGCCAAACTGTAACAGATACTGCTTTAGGCCACAGGGCAGCTAGTCTTAGTAGCTACACCTGGACTTTAAGCCCAATAACAAACAAACAAAACGAAACAAAAAGGAAAGGTTGAGAGATTTTTTTCTTCACCCTCATGGATAAGTACCTGATTTGGCCAAAATTTTCACAAGCCACTTCGTTTTACTGGCCTCGTGGCCAGTGGAAATTTTGGGCCAATTTCATTCCCTGTTAATACTGTTACAAAGAACATTTGAAATCAAATATTAATCACACACAAGAACGCTATTCCATTAGCTTTGGTAGTAAATTAAATAAGATATATTGAGCACCACAAACAGCTGTTTAAGATGGCACTTTTTAATGCTAAGAAATAATATATTACCTGCTATAATATCCTCAGTTACATGTTACTCTAAGTATTATTTCTGCAGGATATAAAAACTTCAAACTAAATATAGCAAACGAACTCTCAAGGCATTTCCTTCATGCTTACAGACGGACATGCTCATCTGGTTAAATAAATAGATTTTCTTGAAGGTGATATTTCAGAAGATAAGATTGGATACCAAAGTGCTTCATGGCTTATTAATGCTTTTGTAATCTCACATTTCTCCAGACATACTTTAATCGCTGCATTTCAGCTTTACACGCATTAGTACCACCGATTCTGGTTTCTCTCCACTTGTATTACACATCTATTTGTCAAGGCTAAAACTGTCATATGCTTTGCTTGAAATCAAAGCTTTTTAAAGGTGTAGAACAGAAGACTCAAAACAAGTCACTATGTTAGCAGCTGTATAATCATGCTGCTTTGCAAACACAGGATGTACAACTTAATTAGTGTCTATGGAGAGTTTAAAGAGGCTCCATTAAGCAACAGCTTCCCCATACTGAGCATTAAAGAGTTCTACCCGCTTTGGCCGAATTCTGTTCCTTTAAAAACTTTGAGATCCAAACACTTAGATCTGAGTGGACTGTAGTTCCACACACACACGAAAAAATTTATAGTGTGAAAAAAGTTCACTCCATTCTTTTCTCTCAGCCTCTTGAAAAACATGTAATGGAACGGAGCACTCACAGGCTGATATCCCCATGCGAAATAAGGCAAATTAGTAAGACAAGAACCATGAAACGGACTCTCCCTTAAAGTTAAATTAAGATTTGAAATAGATCAAATTAATACATCTATATTTTTGTCAGTGCAGCACAATTCCCTAAAATGCAGTCAGAGATGCGGCTGTAACTGAGAAGCAAAAATTGCTTTGACAAGTATCAGGTCCCCAAAGCATTCACTGGCACAGTAGGCACGGCTCAGGTTCAACAAGTTTCTGGAAAACCGTGTACTAATAGAAGCAGTAAGGTCCAAAAACACTTCTGCCCCCATTCTGGAATTAGGGGGGGTTACCTTAACAGTAGAAGTACTTATGTGCACTATTAATAGAAAAGTGTTGCAGTAAAATCTGCCACGGCAGCAGCTTACATGTGTCACTGAGGGACAGTCAGAGTAGGGCCACAGAAACACATTAAACAATTTACAACGGAGAACGGCAGGGGAAGAGCAGAGTTGCACCAGATAATTTTTGTAGGACTTTGTTCCTAAAGTAAAAATAAGGATGTCCATTCAGTTTTTCAATTTCAACTACTGAAGCACAGATCTGAAAGATCGCCTTTAAGAATATGAAAACAGTGAACTTTTCTGTACAACCAAAGTTCATTATCAAGCAAAGGAATGAATCCTGCTTGTCTAACTAGCTAGGGCTGTATCGTACGGAAAGTTTACACCTTCTTCCTCCTGCTTTTTAAAAGTTAAATGCATATGAAATTTTGGAGGATGCATGCAAAACCTAGACCCTTAGAACCAATGCAAGCCCTGTCATCTTATTCCTTTAGTAGTAACTTAATGTTAATTAAACTATAACATATCTAAAAAATAAGGATGTTATTATATAAAAAAGCAGATTAAACCAGTCATTAAATCTTACTGCTTATCGTGAGTGAATGAGCAGACAGGAATGAGTTTTAGCCTACTGGCAAGTATTAAACCACATCTGTATTCAACGTCATGTCTACAGACTCAAACCTTTGCTGTCGGGACCTGCATATTTTTCAGTGCATATCAACCAAACCCTTTGGCACAACTAGTTAACGATGTAGCTGCCAGTTTACCATTGAGTTGCATTTCTGAAGAAGAAAAGCTATTTCCATAAAAGATAGGAGAGAGAATTCTAAGTGAAAGCTTCACTCAGCTGTTCATTTACTGCAAAACACACAAGAGTTGTAAGCTTGTATTAATATTTCGGGTTTTCTGCTTACAGAAAAATTAAGTGCTAGATCATTCTGTACTCAACTTTCTAGTGCTGCATCTTAGTGAGCGATAAAAGGACTTATAATCACTTCTTTATAGGCAATGTGCTCAAGGAACAGGTATAGGATATTTTACTGTTAGCCTGAAATTTCTTCCCTTTTTTCTGACCCAAGTACAGTGGAGTTGCAATTAATACAAGTGAAAACAAGGCTTCCATATTTTCAATTGAATTAAGTCCCAACAAAACCATCCTCTGGGATTTGAGCCTTACTTCAAATTATATGCCAATAACTATTTACCCTGAAAGGTCTTGCCAAGTTTTTATGTTGTAGTAAAGTGTGGATATATATCATTTACAATAGTTGTCATTTAGTTTATCCAATTTTTACTTTACTTTTTTATCACTCTGTAGGCTCATTTATAGGCTGATGCACGTATACGAGTTGCTGATCAGTTTCTATTTCTTATTTGCAATTCTTCGTTTCCTTGTTGCCAGCATATCATAGAAGGGATCCCTGCTGATACTTGCTCTAGAAGAGAGAAAAGGAGTCATCAGTTTGCTTAACAAATATTTGGTTTTGAAAACTAGAACCTTGTTGTTCTCTTTTCCTTCTAGGTGACTCCAAACTTTTAATAGGGTAATGGACTGTTGAGCTGTAAGCATTGGAAGCGTTTCTTTAAAGAAACAGGATAGTTGCTCAGCTGTGATTTATAACAGTTCCACATTTTCACCTTGAACATTATTTATTCCTTTAAGGGTGGGTCTGCCCTTACAAAACTTACAAGATAACACCAAGCTATGAAAGCTGAAAGCTGCACTATGAACATACTAAAGATAGATGTCACTGAAGTTAATAATTAAGTTAAGCAAGAATTAATCTAATAAAATTAAGGTTAAAGATGATTCACACAAGGTTTTATATTTGCTTAAAAAAATAATAATAATAAAACCACCACTCCACATTCTCATTTGAGTTGGTAGCACGATTTCCTTAGGACCAGACACTATCAGGAGATTTATTAAACCTTGATCCAACAGTCCTGTGCAGCCTGCTGTTAATCCTAAGAACAGGGCATCGCCACACCAAAATTGTTCAAACAAGTTACAACACAAACGTTCTTAATATCTTACCCAGAAAGGAGTTTACACTTATTTTTGAAAGACACTTAAGACTCTGAACTCACTTGATAGATTTAATCCACTCTTCCTTTTCTTCTGGGGTTGGAGCAGATATCCGATATACTACATGGTTGCCTTCTACCACTCTGCCATCAGCTTCAGTTTTACAGGCTTTAATTACTTGACCTTTATGACTGGGGTTATAGAGCTCAAAGCAGTTCTGGAGGGTAGAAATTAAGGAACGAATAAAAAAACCTGACAAATATTTTCATCAACAGTAAATCTAAGTTCCATATGGTTTACTTAATACATATTTGTTAAATATACACATACATATATATACATATGTGTGTATGTATGTATAGATGATGATGATGAAAGTTATCTTACTGGTTTTCTAGGGTCTTCAACTTCTCTTATACTAAGATTTTCCAAAGGAATAATTCCTCTAGGTTCTTTGTCCTTAAAAAACAAAATAAAACAAAACAAAATTATTTGTAATCCAAGAATTTAAGTGGCTAGTAAAGTTCGCTGTCATATACTCACTGTTGTGTATTCAAAATAATACAGGCAGTTATCAGTCAGAATAAACCATCTTCGTTTCCACGTTTTTACTCTTCCCCCTATAATTAAAAGGTATTGCTTAGTTAAAGGTGTGTTGCTGTCCAGGCTTCAAAAACAGGCAAGAAAGTAATTTAGTTGTGCTGTTTTTTCAAAATACGACTTAAGAACTGAATTGCAAATGGATCAGGCACAGGTGAGCTGAGATCTAAGGATCGTGTTCCTGTAACTCTTCTTGTACTAAGATCAAACTCCTGAGACATCATTAACTATAGTGTGGCTGACCAACCACAAAAGCTTTATGCTCTGAAACTGTGAATGTCTTCTTTCCACTTCATGTCGATGCAACAGTTTAAGTCAGATCTGTTCCCTGCGTCTAAGCAGTCTCATCTCTTTACTGCATCAAAAATATTAGTATTTATATAGCCGTCAGCAAGGCAGAGTCAGTGCTGCTATGGGAAAGGGAGGTAGATCACCACCAAAACTGTTAACTGGGTCCCAAAAGCAGGACCAACCTTGTCCATAGTCTGTCTGGTACAAGGAAGTGGTCCATCAATATAATTAAAGGCGCTTTATGACATTCTTCTCATTCCCACTGGTGACCATACATGTCGTCAAAAACCTATCTCTGCTTTCAGATTTAAGGCCAAGTACCCAAGACACTTAACAAGCGTTATTACTTGCAAGCAGAACAACTCTGATGCCTCATCAATAAAGAGTAAATTAGAAATCCCTAAGCCAAAAATGCATCATTTTTCATCATTGTTCATAATTTAATATTTTTTAAACATTTTCTCATTATGGGGTAATCTATCACTGAGCACATCTGAGAACAGAAATATCTGCTGGTCCAAAAATGCCAATTTTTCCTGCATTAACAGCTTAGAGAAGAGAAAAACCACAGAGCCTCTCTTTCTTAAAACTGTTAAGGTCACACTGGAGGAAACTGCTCCTTTTAGAAACACCCATTACTGTCTCAGCCCCTTTAGCTATTGTTCTGCAGTGCAGTAGAGTGCCTCTAATCTTTCACAATTACATTGTTTTTAAAACTAATTTCCAGGAAAGACAATTGTAGATAAAGAATTCACATGGTATTAATATATTGGCTTAGTTCCACCATAGTTACATGATTTCAGGATTAGGTCACCACCTGTGCATCATCCATTCAGCAGTGATTCAATCTCATTAATCCAACGTCTCAAAAGACTTGATCGTTATTGAACGCTCTTGCATAAAAGGAATCTCGTTAATACACACAAGACCTCCAAATCAAAGTCACATAAAAAAAAAGTGATTATGTCTTAGATTTCGTTATCTTTCTACTTTCTTGAGATAGCTGGAGTTTTGTTTAATACAAAAGTCCAAACCATATTAAGTTAAAGAACAATTCTCGGGATCTCATGAAGCTTTTTGACATAGGACCACTGTATGTTCGCATTATAGACAAAGTCCTTTTGCATGTTGCATCTTCTTTTAGTTTGGTTTTATGACCTACATGATAACACAGTGCTAACATACATGTTCAAGGTACTCAGTAGATTTTACACTTCCACTATGCACACACTCATCTTAAGAAAAATTTACTCTGCAGGCACGTGTGGTGAAGGAAAAGGAGAAGGCAAAGTAGTGCAAGATGCAGAAGCCATGACAGAATGAAGGATTGAGTGAACTGCAAACAGTGAAGGAAGAAACAGTGGTGTTTTAGTGTAAGCACTGTGACAGATAATAATATAGCACTGTAGATAAAGCATTGTAAAAACATTCAAATTTGCACATACGTCACCAGAAAAATTCCCACCAAGTTGACTGAGAAGTTCAAGTATCGGGGAGGGACTGTGCTAGGAATGGAAAAACCAGTAGACTTTATCTTGACTCACTTCTGGATCCATGAATAAGCAGCAGCCAAGCCAAGCCAAGCCAAGCCAACTGCCCGAGGGCAGCTCTACCTTCCTATCACCATAACGTGACATATTTTTCACATACTGCAATATTCATTGCAATGATTTTAAATCATAGTCTGCCCTATAAGGCCTTTTGTTTGATTGTTTTAAAGGCTAACAGGTAACATCAACTAACATCAAATTTCATGGCTTGTCCTGTTCTGGACAACCCAGTAAGAAAAAGGATGATATGGTAAAATGAGCAGAAAAATATTAACGTTTGGAAAAAACAAATAGGTAAATTGGTTACCATTGCAGAGGCAGCTTAAACTGAACAAAGGAATATTTCATAAACTGCTGTATTATGTCAAAACACAATAACAAATCAGGTGAGAACCACATACTTAAAAGAAAGCCTGCTTTTAATTTAAGGCAGAAACAATGGACTTAAACATACAACTCTAGAACAGTATGAAACACCAGCTAGTAAACGATAGTAGAGTTTGTTGAAACATTTCTGGCAACATCCTCTCTTTGGGAAAGGCAGATTTCTCAAACTTGAAATCTTTTTGTAATCATGCTACAGTTTTGATTAACCTTTCGTCAGGAAACGTTTCCCAGCTCCGGGATAGGTTTGATGCTGAAGCTAGAAAGGTTAAGTATCTCCAATGACATCCCTCTCCCTTCTCCCTAAAACTGCCAGTAGCTTGCTGGGTTACAGCACTCACGTGAGTTATGGAGACAGACCTTTCAGTGCCTGTTCCACAGAACTATGAATTACTCTTACAGGAGAAAGAAAAAAAAAAAAAAAGCAGTGAGGTGGGGTGGAGTTTTTTTAGCATGATAAGGAATTTTCTCATACATAAATCTCTATACCCCCAATACACATATTACTTGGTTGCAGCTGTCAACAGCATGGAAACTCTAATAAAGCTTAAAAGGTGTTCTGGACTCATCAACCTTGCAGGGGTCAACAGCATCTTCCACACAACGTGAATTTAATATGCCTTTACAAGGGGCTACAAACCAAGAAGCTGGTTGACAAGACTTGTGGATCATAAACACCCTATTTAAGATTAATGGATAAGAACTAGCAATAGCAAAAAATTCTTTTCCTTAGCCGAGAACGCTGTAGGATCACAAAACAACGACAAAAGATTTGGAACTGGGCTCCATATCTTATTCCAGCAGTCAGCTTTTTAAAGATGAAAATTTAAAGGAATTACATTATCAGAAGAGGATCAGGAAACAAATCAGAATATGAACCCATAAGCATTCACAGAAAATGAAGAGAGACATAAATGATGTACTTCTCACAATCCAGCTAATTAATCAAGACTAAAGGACATGTCAACAAAATAAAGAAACATAACATTGATAGAGAGATATCTAAGGAAACTATAAGGAAAAGCCACAAAAGGGGAAAACCTATAGAAAGGGGAACATGAATCTATATAACCCGTGTAACCCAGTTACAGGAATTTTTTTCAACTCTTGATAAAGTACAAACTAGAGAACAAAGTAAAAGAAAGCCTTATTAAAGGGGAAAAAGAACTGGGAAAGACTCAAGTAAAAAGGGTCTTAAAACTAGCAAGATAGCTAGGAACCACAACGTAGACAATCCTACCTAAATCTTCAGCACGTTTATGGTAAAGTTTTAGAAGAGCGGGGAAAAAATAAGGTGAGATACATTAAGAATACTTTCTCTTCTCAGTTCATTTAGATACGACTGGGTGGAATGACTCAGAAACCATACACATGTGCGGTTAGCACAGATGATTAGATCAAAGTTTAGGTTTCTTTGCAAAAGAAGTTTGCCTCAATTGCAACATTAACTGCTTCAAACTAGAGCAGCATCAGCTACCAAGACCTAGACAGGCACAGGAAAGCATAGTTCAGGTTCCTGATCACGGACAACTGTTCTTTTGTCCCGCGTTAGGGAGAAGAAAGGACGTCCTCCCAAGGACCGATGCCCTGGAGTAAGCACCGCTGAGAGAACAGGCCTGGAAGGGAATCTCCAAGCTCAGGGCAAACGCTTGATTGACAGAAACAAAATTAACACAGTCATGTGTCTAGCTTGAATCATTTCCTCTCCTGTTCAGTGTCACAATTTCCCTGTAACTAGAAGGAAATATTACACAAACCAAGGTACTCGCCAAGAGAAGCAGTTTTAGACAAGGAAACGCCTTCCTCTGCAAAATGACCATTCTTAGGCATTAGGACATGGAGCAGAGTCCAAAATTTCAGTCCTTAAGGTGGTTGGTAGGAAACGCTACGGTACCAACAACACTAATTATGATGCAGAAAAATCTAAAAGCAATAGTATCTCCAGCTGATGTAAACGAGGATTCACAAGCACTCAGCAGCTTCTTTTCTTTTTTTTTTTTAAAGTAGCATTCGTTTTCACTATATCATGCTTTAAAAGATGTAAAAATGAATGTTAATTCAGGTTTTACTGAGACAAAGACAGAGACATCTATATAAATGCACTAACGGATTCTAGATAGATAAAAACAGAATTTTTGTATGGCTGCCAGTTTTGGCACCTGGACTTTGCAGGCCTGACTTGCACAAAGTCAAAGTCATTCAAAGCAAACTTTACAAAAGCAAGCCTTCTGCCCCCTCGAGTCTTCCGAGACAATTTCACAATGCATGGTGATAAATGGGAAAGCCTTTAGGACAGGTGAATTTTACAATATCTGGAAGTCCCACAGTATCGAAAAAGTCCAGCCCACAGAGTAATCAATAAAGTGAGCAGTAATATGAAATAGAAGGGCACAGGAAGCAAAAGGGAAGAGATAAGAACTATAAGAAACACCAAATACAAATTACTGTTTTGACATATTCAGGGTTGAGTAGTTGTCCTAGAAGGTTTTTTATGTAACTATAAATATGATTATTTCAACATTCAAGCAAGTATTAAAACAACTGACCAATTAAACTCTTATGGAGGAATAGAAGCTCCTCAGCATTTCAGCAATACTGGAACTTTGAATACGCACATCTTTCTGAACTTAAAGAAAGCCCTGCTGATTTCAGAATAATTATCCCCCAACAGAAAGGTTGCACTGCTGAGAACAACGCGGATGAAGACAGCGCTCTCTTAACATACCAATATATAGCTTAAGCTTCCTAGCAACTAGGAAACTCAAGGGAGAGAAAAGAAAGAAAGAAAGAAAGAAAGAAAACAAACACACACACTAGGTTTATTTCTGGTCATTGCATCTAAACTAGCAAAACACATTTGTTTGCACTAGTCTGCGTCTACTAAAGAAAACTCAGTCCTCAAGGAAGAGC